TCATGCATCTGTAGCTACTCTCTCCAGCATTGCACACTTTTCCTCAGTCCCAGCAACTTTCACTTTGCTAGATGTAAAAGTTCAATTCCCTTTTGAATCCCAAGTCACAGGGCACTAGTAAAACAAATGCTGTACCCAGCTAAAACTAGCACAGTTGGTGAAGGAATCTTTTTTTTTTTCCTAGATTGAAAAAAATAATAAAGGAAGCATTTTGGTCCTGTCTTCTGTTAATGTAGCAATCATCAGTGTTTACTGAATGTATGTATGACCAGTGTTAAAGATAGTCTTTTGCTGATTTTGAGTTTTGTGGTTGCTCCTGTTGCATACCTTCCACAGTTCTTAAGGCAATTTGTTATTCATCCTAAAGAGTATGTAGTTTTCAGTATTTTCATGAGCAGTCCAAGTCAGAACCTTTGTGATAGCTAAGCAACACGAGTAACCTGAGAACAGGTCATCAGTACTACTGCAAATAATGGTCTATGTCTTCCCTAAAGCCTGCGTGTGTATACAGGGTCGGAGCATGTGGGTTAGTACTGCTGTTTTCCTTTGCACTTATTCTCGTCCTCCACATGGGGGTAACAAAAGGAAGTAGGAAATGGGTTAAAACTATCGTCGTATCAGCATTTACACCGGTTGCGGAAAGCTTTGTTAGAGAAGTGTTTATACCTGATGAGCAACACAGAGCCTCATCTTGTTGAAATGAAGTGTCTGATGAGCCAGCTAATACAGTGGTTGAACAGATGGGGTCGCTACGAATGTGAAAGTAAGAAAAAGCTAGAGTAACAGGCAGCTCTGTGTGTGCTGTGAAAGGAGGGTGTTGTATGTTGAAGTCTGGAAGTTTTACTTGGGAAATTTTCAGACTTTGTGGTTATAAGTTATGTCAGAATGGTTCAGATTTTATTCTTCCCTGATAAGCAAACCAGTCATGATATGTATTCTTGAAAGTGATAACAAACTTTGCAACAAGTGGTCACATTGAGGAAAAAAAGAAGCATTCATTTTCTCTGTGTGTGATAATTGGTGACATCACTTTTAAATACCTTAACTAAGTTTGCAGTTGTGAAAAGCTTGACGGTAACAATTTTCTCTGAAGAATTCTGAACTCAATAAAAACTTGACTTGATTGAAAATTCAACTATCCCTAGAGAGAAAAAAAACCAAGTTGTTTTTCAGTGATGAACTAGAAACACGAAAAGTCAGATGCATTTTTCTTAGCTGGAATATGCAATCACAGACAAATCAAAACACGACAGGGATTTTAGTTGGGAAATCTCTTGGATTTTGTCAAGTCAGCACAAAAGACTAATTTTTTCCCAAAAGTTTTTTTTTTCTTTTAGAGTTACAATACCATATAGAAATGCCTGTGTCCTCGTTACAGCTATAGTAAACTTAATTTCCCCTCAGTAGCCGTTCCAGTGCTGTGTTTTGGATTCAGAGTGAGAATGGTGTTGATAACACACTGATGCTTTGGGTTTTGTTGAGTCATGCTAATCCTAAACCAAGGACTTCCTTTTTTCCCTGCTGCATGCTCTGCCAGGGAGGGGGTGGAGAGGGTGTGCAAACAAAACCAGGAGGGAGCATAGCTGGGACAGCTGACCTAAACAGATTGAAGGGCTATTCCACACCATGGGACGTCATGCCCACTATAAACTGAGGGAGTTACCCACAAGGCCAGTCTAGGTCTGAGAATGGGGGTCTGGCATCAATCAGAGGTGGGAGAGCAATTGTCTTGTGCATTGCTAGTTCCTCCCTTTTTTATCATTATTACTATCATGTACCCTTTTTACAACATTTTACTTTATTTTCAGTTATTAAACTTTTCTTATAGCAACATACAAGTTTTACTTTGAGTCACTCCCCATTCCACTGGAGTGCAGGAAGAAAGAAGGGGGGGTATTAGTAAGTGGCTACGTGGTGCTTAACTTCCAGGTGGGCTTAAAACCATGACAGCCTGATATTCAGTATGGTGGTTATAGGTAAGACTTTTTTCCATATAAACAAGAAGCCTTGTTTTAATGGGCTTTCTACTTGTATTTCTCACTAATTCCAGGCATCCCCAAATAGTAGTCTTAATTTTCATATTGGAAATAAATGTTTAATGGCACATCTTTGTGCATTTTTCTATAGCTTTTTTTTTTTTTTTTTTTTTTTGGTATCTTAAGGAGGAGAATCATGGGGTAAGAAATTGGCAAGCTAAATACAGTTGTTTAAAATCAGGTATTTGAAATTTGCGTTCTGGAAAAGTGTGGTGGGCATGTTATAGTTTGTTGATCTGCAGTCTAGCCTCATCTTGAGAAGATGATACATTTTGTAGCTGCGTGGTTAGTTTTTCAGACACACAGTTAAATGTGAATTGCAAGAAGACTAATATATACTTTCTGTGTTAGATTGGAATTATTGGTGGAACTGGCCTGGATGATCCAGATATCTTAGAAGGAAGAACAGAAAAATATGTTGACACTCCTTATGGCAAGGTCTGTATAACCTTTTTATTTATTACTGAAACTTCTTGCCAATTGTCACGATGTTTGTATACTGTAAGAATTTTCAGACTGGTAAATGAATGTATAAAGGAGGTGCTGGCACAACTGATTTTAGTTGCTATGTATTGTGGGATTCTTGGTTTGTAAGAAAAGTAAGAATTATTGCAAAGATTATGTGCAAAGGAGACTATACATATTCTTATTTGTAGATTGGAAGACTTTAGAAACTGCTGAATTTACAGTCAAGGGATAAAACTTCTCTTTCAAATTTGTACTGGTGTGTGACCTGTATTATCTGTCAGATCGGTCCAGGAACCTTTCTGAATTGCAGAAAACTGTCCTCTGAGGTAAATGAGACACCATTTTCCCTGTGACTAATGGATTATGTTTTATGTGCCAATGTAAGATCATGCTTATAGCCACATAATTTGAAAATTATTTAAAAAGGAAGCTCTGAAACTGTTTTTGTGACACTGTTACACCTGAACAATTCTTCTTTACATTACATCTGTCCTTTTCCTCAGCAGAAGGGTGTGGTGGCTAGGGCTGTTTCTCTATACATAGCACTGGGTGTGTTTTGAAGGATAATTCCTGGCACAAAGCATTTAAAGGAAAAACAGGCAAGACAAAGGACAAGGGAGTTTATAGGCAGGAAATCAAGGGGTAGAGATGTTCTAGTTGTTACATGAAACTCATAGAAGAATTGGATCTCTGGTAATCGTGTTGTAGGACATGGGAGTCTGGGCGCTTTATAATTGTCCTTAGAATTATATTTTATGCAGGCTACCAGTATAGCGGGTATACATTTTAAAAAAATCAGGTAGCAAGTGCTACTTCGTGACTGGAAGCTTGCCAGAAAACTCAGTGATGTGGTGTCTTATTGAAAACTGAATACATGCCTTCACTTAAAAATGGTTTAAAAAGGAGAGTAAAGAGCAAGAGGAGTGTGTATCCATACCATTCAGGAAGGGGAAGAAGGCAAATATTAAAGGAAGTGAAAACACAATCAGATGAATGCATTTGACTATTCTATCGTCTTTCAAAATTAGTTAACAAATTGTAATAGAATGGAGGGAACTTACCTCCTTTGTTTTCTGTACTCTGGTTTCCAAAGTAGCCAGTTTTGGTCTGAAGGAGAATCCACTGGCTAAACCAAGCCAGTTGCCATTGCATTCCCACTTTCTTGAAATGTTCATCGCAGCATGGATGTGTTTGGGGACTGCTGACAAAGCAAAATTAATACTATGCTTGTAGCAGCTATTAACTGAAGCTTTCCTATCTAGGATGAATGGAACACTTCTTCCTCACAGGTTTCTGTTCAGATAGAACAGAATTCTGTTCAGGGCACGGTGCCAGCAGAGCATTTGTAAAGTCTGTTCTGTCACAGCAGTAAGATGCCAAAGGATTTGTAGGATGCAAATTCTGCAGGGCAGTAGGTGGCCTACAGTAGGGTTCAGTATTCCTGAGAAGAGTAGGAGTTCTTTCAGTATAGCTCCTGCACAAAGGAGTGAAAAAATCTTCATTAGCCATGCACCTTTGATCAGTATGGAAGGCTTTTTTCAACTAATAAGAAGCTTATCTAGTGTAGCGTTCTGGGGCTGCAGGATCATGTCCAGGCAGGCTACAGCTACCAGCGACCCGCATGGGACTCCCAACGAGACGGGCTTCTGCTCAGGAAACCATTTATTCAACACGGGAACAGATCCAGAGACAGACAGCCCCGAACAGAGGCAGGGTGATGTGGGACAGAAGCAGGGTGGAGTTTAAGGTCGGGAACTAATAGGAACACAGCAAGGGAGAAACCCCAGGGGCTCAAACCCAACCAGAACTCACTGGGCTGCTGCCCCATGAGGGGTTTGGGGTGCAGCAAATCTTCCTGGGCTCACAGGGCCCTGAGGCAGAGGAATGGAATCCACTCTTCCTGGGCTTTAAAGCCACTCCTCTCACTTTAACAGTGCTTATCTGAAGCTAAATCTTTGCCTCCCTGGGCGGAGGGCACCTCACAATCTATTATCTTCTTTTTTTCTGTGTTCTTCACCGAATGCATAAATAACTAGCAAAAAATTAATATTGGTGCCTGTTGTGGTTTGTGAGAGACCTTGATCAATGGACTGCCGCCCGAGCCTGCATATTATGCATTGAGCATAGGCTGAACTTAAAAAAAAAAGAGCTCGTGAATATTTTTTTCTTTGTGTAAGGGGGACAAGAATACAACCGAGACACCGTGGTAAGAATCCAAGCATGAATTCGAGATAATGTCCTGAGTTTAACTGGGACTACTAAGCTGACCTGAATGTAGTCAGGCCTTTTTCTTTTTACTTATAATGGCCTGTCTCTCCTCTCTCCCTGTAGAAATGAATTTCTGATAATCAGGCCGTTGACCTGATCAGTGTCTTACGTAGATCTCCTGGAATCACATTTACTTCAGGGACTGAAGGCAATTTCGGTTCAGCAGCTGAGGGATCACCCTTAGTGTCAGAGGCGCAGAGCTTAGTCCACAAGTTACAGTTGCACCAAGTGCAATGGATTTTGACTGAAGCAGAAGCAAGCCTCAAATTCAATTTGTATTATTAGGTGGATCAGTATTCACTTTGCTGCTGAGACTCTTTAGTATTCAGGAAGGAGGTATTACACAACCTACCTTCATTTTAGAACTGCATAGCTGAATGCAAGTGGGCAATTTTATTTTTATTTAAGTGTGCCTGAAAAAAATTAGAAGTTTATGGTTTGTTACTATTTTTTCCTAAAGGTATATTCTGTTCTTGGTTATTACTGGAATAAAACCAAATTGGGACGTTTCTGCCATAAAGATACTTTTTATCTTTAGATAAAAGAGCTGTGATATCAGTAAAGAGATAAACTGCCTGAAATTTTAAGAGGTAGAGGACTTAATTTAAATAAACTTCAAACATTTGTGATATTTTATTTCCTGAGAGAAACTCAGATGAAACATCAATCTATTTAGTTAGGCAAAACTAGGAAGAATGAAAATGAATTAATGTCTGAAGGAAATTGCAAGGCATAGTTACTAGAATGTATGTTCATTTCCTTCTGTGATGTAAAAATGCAAAGCATACAATTCCACTTATCTGGGTTGGTAATAAATAATAAGTAACAAGTGATATTTACTTATCACTTTACTTATATTTATTCATAATTAATCCTTATAATTAATTCTTAACTTTCTAGGCAAAGAAACTTGTGCCAAAAGATTTTTAACTGAAAATCTTGCTGGAGTAGATATTCCTTGGCACCTTTGACATTTGACAGCAGCAAAATAGATTTTTCTTTAATGAAAAATGCTGTTTTATTTTAAAGGATTAATAATAGCTTACATTTTCTTCATACAGAATCCTTGAATTGTCTTCTGCTTTGGCCTCTTGAATACTTAGAATCATTTAACTACAAAATTTAGCATTTGGGAATGTGGGAAATATGGAAAAGTTTAAGGGAAACTATTTTGACAATTTTTTGCTGTTCTGTGTGTTGACATTGGTCCTCCTATGATCTATCAAATTACATTAGTAATAGTGAAATGCAGAACAGTTTTTTTAAAAACTAAGTAAGCCTACAGCTCCTAATATTCCAGCCATCTTTTCTCCTTTATCTTCTTCCACCATTTGTAATACATCAAAAATTTGGCATTCTCTGGAAAATATTCCAAAACCTTTTGAGATTCTATCTTCAGATATGGAATATATTAGTCTCCTACAGGATAATAGATCCAAGCAATTTTATCTTCATCACTGAATTTTGAAGCTCCTAAAAAGCTTTGTTCAGAATATATTTACAGTTAGATTCCCTTCCTTTCTGTGTGACAGATCTTGGTTCTGGATCACCATCCTTGGTGGGAAAGAGATCTTCCCACTCTAGAAAATTGTTCTAGGGGCTCCCTGTCTTTTTTTGGTTATAAATATATCTGGCAAACAAAGCAGGAGGTAGATCCACCTTTCAACTGAGCATTTTTTTCTTGCATCAGGAAAACCTGACCATGTGACATAATACCTAAGCTCCTCTTCTGCCTCCCCAAAACAATGTACATTGTTTAGTTCTTAAAATAGGTCACGCGTAGTATGGAAGCTTGCAGAACCTCTGAAATACTTTTTCTTCACAAGTGTTCCGTGTTCATTCTTCTTTCTCTTCCAACTAGCCTTTAAGATGAGACCAAGGGAAAAATGAATTCTGTAGACACCACATGAATACATTTATATTATAACAAAAGGGGATTTATTCTGATTGTTTGTCATTGTAATAATTTGGGGTTAATTACTCAGGGTTCTTTCTTTTCTGTTTTGCAACAGTGAGTAATATATATCTGATTTCTATTTTGTTAAATGAGGATAGTAGTAAAATAGATTTAAGAACTTTTAATGTTTGAGGACTTTTTATTGGACCTTTTATTAAATCCCCCTTTAAAAATACAGCATTAGAGCTTTGATTTCAAATTGTTCCATTGAAAGTTTTTATTGTTTTATTATCATGCCTGGCTATTATTGAGATAATAGTAGAGAGGCACAGCACTTGGAAATAACTTGTGGGAGAAAGCAGGCAGAATGAAAGTATACACTAGCTATGTTACATGGTTAATACATAGTTAGAAATGTCTGTTTCTATAACTTTATGCACATATCAATAGTTGGTCCATTCTTATTAAGTCTCTTTATCAGCAACCTGGATGAAGGGATAGAATGAACCCTAAGCCAGTTTGCAGATGACACAAAAGTGGGGGCAGTGGCTGACACACCTGAAGGCTTTGCTGCCATTCAGAGGGACCTTAGTCTGGAGAACTGGGCATAGAGAAATCTGATGGAGTTTAACAATGGCAAGTTTAGAGTCCTGCACCTGGGACAAGTACCAGCACAGGCTGGGGTGACCTGCTGGAAAGCAGCTCTGCAGAGAAGAACCTGGGGTGGTAGATGATATGTTCACCCTTGCAGTCAGGAGGGCCAGTGCTGTCCCAGGGTTCCTAGAGTGTGGCCAGCAGGTCAAGGAGTGTGATTTCTCCTCTACCTGGCCCTGGTGAGCCACATCTGGAGTGCTGTGTTGAATTCTGGACTCCTCAGTACAAGAAAGACAAGGAGCTACTGGAAAAGGTCTGGCAGAGCCATAGAGGTGATTCAGAGTCTGGAATGTCTATCTTGTGGGGAAAGACTGTGGCAGCTGGGCTTTGTCCAGAAAAGGGAAAACTGAGAGGAGATCTTGTCAATATATATATAAATATTTCAAAGGTGGGTGCCCAGTGGATGAAACCAGACTCTTTTCAGTGATGCTCAACGACAGGATAAGCAGTAATGGCCATAAACTAAAACACAATACGAGGAAGAATTCCTTTATTTACACTGAGGGTGGCAAAGCACTGGAACAGGCTGCCGAATGAGATCATGGAGCCTCTTTTGCTAGAGACAGTCAAACCCCACCTGGATGTTCCTGTGTAACCTGTTCTATGCAAGCCTGCCTTGGGAGGAAGGCTGGACTAGCACATCTCCACAGGTCTTTCCAACCCTAACAATTCTGTGATTGTATGATCTTTATTTAATGTCTTTTAATGAACTGTGATGCAGTTTCTGCAGTTCTTTTGTTAAACTGTCCATTCACCACTTAGCAGTGCTCTCTTTGTTCCAAGTATTTATTTTTCTCTTCCATTTTTCTAGAAATCATGTGCCAAAAAGATATTCAGTATATCACCTGGAAAATATGCAGAATGCATTTAATGAAAATTAGTGCGAAGGGGTCAGGTGTCTTGCCCCCAGACGGTGCTCTGATATGAGCAGATAGGGAAGGAAACTCTGGCTGCAGCAACTAGATTTTGAAGCCTGTGAATTTCAAAGGTGTTATATTCTTTCTGCATCATCAATGTATGCCAGAATTCAGTGGAGTTCTGTGGTGGGAATGAATATAAAACTACCCCAAGGCTTTTGAAAATGGATATAAACTTAAAACTACCTTTTGCAATTAACTTGAATCTGTTACTTATAAAGCAAAGAGCCCTGTCTTCAACTTACTGACCTTTTTGATGGGAGGCAAGAGCTTTTGCTAGAAATCCTCTTTAATTTTTAAGAGTATTTTTGTATTTTTTAAGTAGTCTTTTGGGGACTTAAGTGCCCGATTTTAATAAGTGCTTATTACTTAACACAGCAAATATGTGTAAACAAAAAAAATTCCAGATGCTAACTTCAGTGAATGTTCTTTGTTATGGAATGTTGGAATTGCAAGTTTCCTTGGCCACTAGACAGCAAGGCCCTGTGTGAAATTTCACTCTTAAAGCCATGTTTGTTTGAGAAGAGTATATGTAAGGTAAAGATTAAACACTTAAATATCAATGGTTTAATATTAAATGGAGACTTCAAAAAAAAATAATAATAACTACAGTTCTAAACATAAATTTTCTGGAATGTTCCCTTTTTTAAAAAAGAAGTAGTAAATGTCTGTCAGAATTTAAATATAGGTGATTGAATAAGTTATGGTGCTTTGGAGAGCTTTCACAAGAATAATTACCAAAAAGATCTGTGCAATAGGAAGTAGAAGGTGATGTTTTTATTAGAAATGGGTATCTTTAACGTGGGATTCTCATATCTCTTCATTTCAATCTCTGCTAATTTTCAAGAGTATAATAAAATCAACTGTAAAATCATAATAATATAATAAATAATAATATAATACTATAATAAAATAATAATACAATTAGTATCTAATAATATAATATATATGTTACAACATAATAGTATAATAAAATCAGCCGTAAAACTAAATGGAAATTGAAGTCTTGCATCTAGCATTATAATTTTATTTGTTTTCTATCAAGTAACTGGCAACAGAACATTTCTAAACGCAAATATGAAGTCAAGACACTTGCAGACTTGTGATCAGTGAATAAACCATGATTTTATTAGTAGCTGTTTTAACAAAAAGGAAAGCTATGACATAGTATATTACAGGTCCCTGAAGGCCAGGAGCAGAACACAGCCCACAGAGCAGTTAATTTATTGTAATGGTGATTGATGACTTGAAGGCTGCCTCTCATGGGCAGGATGATCCATCTCTGTGGCAAGGTACATGTTCCAGCTGGACAGGTAAAATCAGAATGGTTTGTTGCCCTGGCTGGTGAATAGTCAGGAAGATTGTATTTTCTTTTTGTGTAGCTCTAAGAGGTGTAACTGGGCTGAGCAAACACAACACTGCTTGTGCCACTTATGAACCAGAATTTGTCTGCTATATCACATTTCATTTCCCAAAAGCAGGACTCCCAGCAGCAGGAAAGAGTGAGTTTTTCAGGAAGCCGGGGGTGAATGAGGGGTGGGTTGAAAGAATCACACCTTCACACCCTGTTGTGAGCCCAGGTTAGAAAGAGGATAGAGAAGAGAATTGCAAGTGTTATGGAAAAGCACAGATTAAATGTTCTTTATGTTGGAAGTGGGCTTTAGTAGAGAATGGCACCTATTTAGCAAAAATAAACTGAAGTTTACAAGAAAGAGTGAGTCATGCTAACCAATTTGATGGTAGCATGTGCATACTACTATTTTTTGTGTTTGAAATGTTCTTTTAATATATTAGAAAGTATCATGGTTTCAAACCCCAAGTAAAGAGTTGCAATGTTAATGTTAGTATGAACAGAGAAAATTTGTGGTAATCCTTCCTGTCTCAAGTCTGATCTTCCTGTTCCAGGCTGTTCTGCTTATCTGCCATATCAAATTACAGAGCAGAGCTCAAGAAAATGTGAGAGTACAATGGTAACTAGTATTTTGTTCCATAACTGTTGCACTTATTTTTAGGTAGTAGTAAATGTTTGTAATGTGATTGTGAGATGGTAACTCATTCTTATATGCTTGTTTGCAGCCATCGGATGCTTTGATTTTGGGAAAGATCAAAAATGTGGACTGTGTGCTCTTAGCAAGGTAAATGAGCATTTTCAGGGGGTTTGTGTTAAGCTTCTTAAAGTTTTCTCTGAATTTTTTCTCTTTTCATTAGGTGAACTGAATTTCTTCTCTGACATCATCTTGCTCTGTGTGGTTGCTAACAAAGTCCAGCACAAGTCTGGGTTTTTTCATAAGCAAATTTGATGCTGCAAGGACTGAGAGTATTAAAAATGCTGTCTAGCTTAGATAAAAAAAATTCAGTGGGAGATAAACCCCTAGTAAGAATGGCAGCCTTCAAGGCCACCTGCTCTGATGTTAGGTAGGTGATGCTTATAACCTTTCTAATGAATTCATCTGCTCACTATATTTGCAGATTTCCTTTGTGAATTAGAGAAAATGTCTGCTTCCAGATTAACTGTGTCTCTGATTCCACTGTAAACTCCTCCAAATTATTGAGTCCTCTTTCTGTTAAAATTAAATGCTTTGGGGCTGCATACCCTGCAGTTCTGCCTGCCTGTGCCATTTTTATGACTATACTTGAAGAGACTCTGGAAGCAGGATCTGCAGATGAATGTGTGGAAATTACACGCTGGTGTAACCATGGATGTCTAAGACCAACATGGTACTGGATTAAATGTAAGAATACATACACAGTTTGTGGCATCTGGGCAGAATGGACAGAGCAGGTGCTGATGACAGGGTCTATCAGCAGGCCAAGTCAAGGTAATTAGTCAAGCACAGTATCCATCCAGGGAATCCAGGCAGGAACCATAGGAGGTGAGAGATAAGGCTGTAGCATATGTCTAAAGCCCAGCCCACTCTGGAGACAAACTACAGCATAGGTCTGAAGGCTGTGGGGAGATCGGGCTGGGGACTGGCACACTGTGACATAGCTCAGGCCAGGAGTAAAGACTGGGTTCTGAGCTTGGAGGTGGGAGCACTCAGGCTCACAAGCATCAGGAGTTTCTGTGGAGGCCCAGGGTGAGACTGGCTAGGGCACTTAGGACCCAGTGGTGCACTCGGGGCCCCAATTCTTTTCATTCCAGTGTTTTTCCATTAAAGCTGCTTACTGCTAACCATCTCTGCAACTACACTTCTGTCTGTGGTTTTGCTTTTCTTATCTTTCATGGATTTTGTTTATATATTTCATTACACCTAGACAACGTTTTTCTCATTTTCTCAAATGAGCTGCTAAGTCCAGTTCTCATAGCTGTACTGTTTCAAACTGGACCTTGGACCAGAGATGTCTGAAAAACTTGGTTGTGGTCTACTTTCTCCCTGGGGTTTATGACCGTTCATATAGAAACCTTGTGAGTTCACTTTTAGGGCTAAGGTACCTGCAAATTTTTCTTGGTGTTTTGGCTTCTGAAGCATATTGGAAAAAAAAAGGCATGTATATTCTATAAGAAGATTATGACAACAACTGCAATAAAGCAATAAATCTGTGTGATTAGTAGATTATCAGAAATGCTAATGACAACATGGGAATCCTGACTGTCATGTTGCCTGCAGTTCCTGAATGATCAAATTCTTAGGGCTTTTTTGGCTCTGAAAAAAATAATTTGAGAAAGTAAGTCCCTTCTTTTCTCTTACATGACTGAAATGATTTTCTAATGTGTTTAATCATGTAAATGATGTGCTTCTGTAGCAGAGATAGCACAAAAGCTCATGCTTATAAGAGCAAGTATTTCCTGTCTTCGTGAAAAAGAATGCTACAGCAGTGTGAAATCATTCTTTTAATTTATGAAAGCTGTCAGATCACTTAAAGAACAATGAGAAAAATGTGATGATTCTATTTTTCTTTGGAAAGATGACAGATTAGAATACAACGTTCTGTGATGTGCTGCTTGTTGTGTGGGAGAATACAAGCAGTGCTTCTGGGCAGATTCTCCTTTCTTCAGCAGAAAATTCATGGAGGTGTATATAAATCTTAAGAACCTCCTGTAGTGTATGGAAAAGGGGTATGGAACTGACTTCGAGGATTCAGAGAAAAATGCTTATTTTAATCTCAGAGCTGCTGAAGTGTATTTGAATTGTATTTTTAAGATTCTTTTCATTACAGTCTTGAACTTAAAATTTTGCATTTAAAAAGAAAATTACACCACTGCTTCTTAAATTGAATTCCAAGAGAAATTCAATATATTTAGGAAAACAAAATATACCAGAAGTAGCTGAAATAGTCAGTTCCACTTCCAATATTTTTATGGGAAATAAGTTTCTTGAAATTCTCCTTATTGGGAGAAGAAAGGCAACTTCAGTCTGATTTATTTTACTGTCTTGCTTCATGTATCTTTGCAGACATGGAAGGCATCATACAATTATGCCATCAAACGTCAATTACCGTGCCAATATCTGGGCATTAAAAGAAGAAAATTGTTCTCATGTATTAGTGACTACTGCCTGTGGTTCATTACGAGAGGAAATACAACCTGGTGATCTTGTCATAATTGACCAGTTTATTGACAGGTGAGTAAGAAGGAGAAAAATTAGGACAAATGGGGTTAAACCATATAATAACATGTTCATGTTAAATTAAGTTCTTGTAAAATAAAACGATACCCTCGGTTCTTCTGTCAAAAAGTGAGATTTGTACAAGAAAATATGATAGGAAATGGGAATGTGATTGTAAGAAGTTCCATTCTAACAGACACAGAAGCACCAGGCTTTGAAGAATGGCCATGAATGAGCTAAAGTATAGCTCTGTGGGAAGACTGTTCAGAAGTAAAAAAAATCTTCTATTGTCAGATGTGGGATAGAAACATGAATAAGAGCACAGGCTGTTCCAAGATTTATGAAGAGTCTGAAATGAAATGTACAAGAAAACATAGTAGGAATCATCTAGGAAAATATATGTTATAATAATGAGGTCTTGCACAACAAAGATAAATGCAACACAGTAGCAAAAGAGAGGAGGTTGTTTTAAAACAAGAATAGATGCTTGCATATCTGATTTGTTAAGAATCATAAGTAAGTAAATTTGTTTCCAAAGTCTGTATGTCAGTTGGTCCTATCCTCCTTGACTATCTGACTAGAAAAATTCAAGCAATGCTGGGGACAAAATGAAGCTACATTTAAAGATCACCAGCAACACCAATAGTTCAAAGATCTGGTTGCACATTTTAAAGGTAAATTTACATTTAATACTTGGAGGTGTATTATATCTTGAAGTCTTATTTGGGTATTCCACCTAATTAGAAGTATTTAAAATGGCTTATGCAGCTTCTTAGGGCATTTGTGGTGCTGCTGGTAATATTTCATTGCCAACTGAACGTGTAGACCTAGATTTGTTACCTGCACTGCAGTGCTATTCAAATTTTGACATACTGACTTTTTTTTTTTCCATGTGTTTTTCTTTTAAGAGTAGGTTTTAGATACAGCATGTCTAAATTACTAAGTACCCTGCAAGTGCAAGCCCCATATAAAATGCTTCCTGTTAAACTGGAGTTGATTTATGGGTGAATATCAGCTATATTGCTGACAGTGCTATTTTTTTTTTTTTGGTATTGATACTGATTTATGTAGGAAAGATATTAAACAGACTTGAGGACACAGTTTGGATGATTGTGAGTCAAGCACCAGTTATTTAGACTGCATTATCACCTGGCAGACTCCTGGGTAAGTGAAGGGAGCCTCTGTTTACCATTGGTGAACCACACCTGGAGTACTGTATCCTGTTCTGGGCTGCACAGTGCAACTTGGACATGGACATACTAGAGAGAGCCCAGCAGTGGACTACGAATATGCTAAAGGACTGGAACATCTCTCCCAAGAGGAGAGGCTCAGACAGTGGGACTGTTCAGCCTGGAGAAGACTAGACTCAAGGGTAGTATCACTAATCACTAATAGAAATACCTGAAGGGAGGGCATGTAGAAGAAGCCGGGCTCTGTCCAGCAGCGCTCAGGGTTGGAGATAGTAGGAACAGACTAAAACACAGGAGGTTTCCTCTGGGCATCAGTGAACACTTTTTACTGAAGGTTTCTGAGTACTGACACAGGTTGCTCAGAGAGGCGGCAGAATCTCCATCTTTGAAGATACTCAAAGCCATCTGGTTATGGACCTGGATAGCCCATTTTAGGTAGACCTCCATGTGACCTTGAGAGGCCACTTCTACTCTCAACTGTTCTGTGATCTATGTTTTCATTTAGAGTTTATTCAGATGGTCACCAGTTGTAATGGTGTAACCTATTTATGAGCAATGTGTTGTTTGGGCATGCAAGTTTTCATTTTGATGTAGGCAAGTGGAAACTTGTTGTGACTTGTTTAATGGCACCAGGAAATCAAAAAGCTTCTCAGAAAAGCATATGAAAAAGTTTCACTGTGGAAAATTGTATGTAATATGAATTTTAAAATAATCTCAAACTTGCAGTTTAATTCAGCAAACTGATATATTGTAATAGTCTGTCTCTTGACAGCTGAATTCCTGTGTCATCTTTTTCTCATTATGTTCTATGCCAGGGAGTGTTAGACTGCCGGGTCTTTGGAGACAGAGTCTGCATTTAGCCCTTCACAGCAGTCTAAGAGTGATTGTATTATATAAGTCATTATGCCAACAATGCTACTAGGTAGGAAGGTATTTTCATGGGACAGAATATTTTAGTTCTCCACCAAAGATCAGGGTCATGCAAACAGTGTTAATAGTCTTGGAAAGAGGGTACTGGTTAAATTTGCAAAAACAGTCAATTATTTTTCTTGAAAGGTATTCTGGATTCTATATAGTGGTTGACCCGTGTCAGACAGTACATAGGAAAGAAGTTGTGGTCTAGATGGCAAGGATTTACTCAGGCCACAATTAAAATCAATGACTTCTGGTGTCCAGGTACCTTTTAGTATCTGGGTTCTATCTGTATATATTCTCCATACGGAGAATTCCTGTTCTCAGTTCTCCTTACAGGTGTGAAGCAAAAAGAAGGAATAGTGAATAGGAGTGGAAGAAGAGCTAGAACTGAGCAGAAAACTGTGGGCAGCTACTGTAATTTGTTCTCCTTCAGCATACACACTGTGAAATTAATGGTGGGATTCCAACATAAGGAGTTGTGTAGGACTTCTGCCTAGCACGGGATTGACTTACAGTATGAAACACTGAATAGGTGTAATTAGAACTACATAAGATTTCCAAATTTTTGAGAGCCTAATTATGCAAGTCATTACCACGGCTAGTCTTTGATTCCGTATGTAGTCTCTGCTTTCTTTATGCTTATTATTTTGTGTATTTAAACAATAAAATATACATTTTATTAAATAAATAACAAAAATACATGTATTGTGTTCTCCTTGCTACCAAATCCAAAAGTAGCCACTTGCTACTCTAGGCTGCAAAAGCTGTTCTCTTCTTTAAAAAGGTACTTCAAAAACATAGGATATTTTTTTTCTGCCTTTGACTCCTGTTAGTAAATTGTAGTACTGTTAATCAGTTGAATACATGAGACTAATTGGGGGCTTTTGAATACTTTTTGTTTGGTTTGCTGCTGATATTTGCTAGGAAGAGAAGAAAAGACTGTAACTATGTTACTTGAATGACTGAGCTCATCTTGGGAGGTGCAGAAAATAATGTTACTCGCCTGTAACAGTTGTGTGTTTAATTGTTTCTGTTCTGTGTCACAACTACAATTGCTGCAGTTATTATTACTGCCTGTAAATTTTTTTGTATCATTTTCTTTCAGTGTCCCTGAAGATGCAGAGCATACTGAGACTGCTTTTTGTATGCTTATGCCAGTCTGAATTTACATTTTGTTCTTTAATTACCAATATTTTGATAATTCAACACTACTGGAAGAAGGAGGAAGGTGATGATGGAAGTGGTAGAGAACTGTTTGTCACAGATGGAAATGACTGGTTTGTTCATTTATTGAGCTGTATTTTACTTCCTAGAATCAGTAATAGTCAGAATTGCCAGAAAATCTAATGTTACTGTCATAAAACCAAAATGAAGGGGCAAAAGCCAACTTCTTGTCAGAATAAAAGTGTGGCTGTTGCTGCAGATACAGGGGTTTAGTGGGGTTTAATTTCCAGGTGGGTTTAAACTACAATAGATGTAGAAGATAAATTATCTAATGTCATCCATTGATCGAAGCAGTTACAGGTGTTACTGTTGTTACTTAGTGTCATGCAGTTTGTATGAGTGGTGCTAAATGTAGTAGGATTTCTTTATGAGGCCATGTAGTGATGTGGTCACTCTCTTCAGAGAACACAGGATATCCGAAAGTCAGATATTAATATTTATGCATATTAGATCTTTCCTTGGGCTTTTCTGATTGAAAGTGCCTAACAACGTCTGAAGTACCTTAATGCAGGAAATGGACTGTGACTTTTACCATTTCCTCCAACTCTAAATAATTCATTAGCAGACAAAATAGAAAAGTGTGAAAAATAGCATATATGCTATTTGCAGCATTTCAGTATCCCATAAAAGATAATTGATTTTAGTGTTTCAACTGATTTTTTACAGCTCCATCCCATTTTCTAGATGGTTTTAATTTGTCCAATTCTATCCTATTTTATAATCACATTCTTAAGGCTACTCTATTGATGCATTTTTTTGTCCAAAACTACTCTTAACATGCAAGTTGTATTTAAAAACTTTGTTTAAATATTTCCTAGTGACTTTATTTGGGAGCTGTTATAAAAAGTATTACCAACAGATACTTTGTATTTCAACTGTGGATTGAATTTGTCTGTTGTCTTTATTTTCTCCTGTAAAGGACAATATGTGACACACTGTAGGGAAGCAGGGAGTGTCTGAGAACATTGTTCCAGAGGATTTGCGCCATCCAATTGGGTAGATTTGCTTGAGGCAGTGCATTTGAGGGTAAAGTGGTAGTGGGTAGCAGATACATGGGTTCCAAAATGGCATTCTGGATGGTAATTCCAACATGTTTGATCATTTCCATCCATTGAAAGAAGAGAAAAAAAAGTGTTCTTCTACTTGGAAGCTGCTACTGCATGTGTGTGTGATCTTTCTAAGAACATGAAGACATCCTGTTCCAAGGTTTTTCTGGTTGAATTCACACTTCCTTCATGCTGGAAGCTGTTCCTATAAATTCCCATCCTTTCAATATAAGAATGCAGTAATATGAGCAGCCTTGTGGTAATTGAGATTTTATTCCTTCATTTTCTTAAAGCTTACATTTTTTTCCAGAGGTTACATGCCTGACTGTTAAATTAGGGATTGTTTTGCAGTAGAATCGCATCACAATAGGGCTGTTTGTGTTATTTAGGAACAAATCAGCATTTCACTGTCTTGGTTAACGAAAGGTTTTCATAATGAATTGACAATGCACTAGTGGAGTAACAATTTTATACTCATCAGCTCAATTCTCAAAGGTTTGTACAGAGAACGAACAAGATTACAGGTGGTCGCTAATATCATACTGATTTTTTCTTCCTCTCCCAGGGATGCTGTGTTTTTTGATTTGTATCAATTTATTGCTTTATTTTTCTGTTTTCTCTAAGCAAATTTTCTGCTTTTCTAGGACAACTAAAAGACATTGTACTTTATATGATGGGCAGCATTCCACTCTCTCAGGAGTATGTCATATTCCAATGGCTGAACCGTTCTGCACTAAAACCAGAGAGGTTAGTGAATTCTGTAATAGCATTAAGAAATGTTGTTTTTATGGCACTTATTTGTGATATATTAGTCTAATTGTGCAGTCTTAGAGTACAGAGGCAATATGCACCTCTTTATCCTGTTTCTCAGATACATCATGGTATTAAGGATGAATGTAACATTTGGAAGGCATGGTAAATAAAAGAACTTGTGTCTGTCTTCCTAAAGGAGGTATGCAGAAGAAATCAGTTGGCAATATAGATTTTCTCAGAGTCATAGTAACAGGACAGAAGATCCTTATTTATTGAGTAACCAGCCAAAAAAACAACAAAGTGAACAAAGCAGTTAGAATTAGAAATTAGTTAAGTATTTTTCTGAATAAAGCTGCACCTATGGTAGAGGTGCATTAAATATGTCACCTTAGTGTATTCCTAGAGTTGAGGAAAAAGGAAGGTGAAGATTGAGCTGCATATTTTGTGGTGGTGTGGAATGCTCTGATCAGTAGTAGCTGCAAGCACATTCTTCAGAGGAGCAGGAGCACTTACAGGATCAGTCATACTCATCTAAGAGACCTGCTCTCTGCAATCAAGACCAAGCTGAGTTGTGAAGCAGGTGGCACAATCTATACCCAGAGCATGTACAAACATTTGGACTACTGAGCTATTCTGCTTTTGTCACCAATTCGCTTCAGTGTCATTATGTGCTGTTTTTGTTAATTTGCCACACTGTGGTTTAGAGACATCCACACTAGGAACCAAGGTGTTGTACAATGAGCTGAAGATACTTTAGGTCTCATGAAGAAACAAACTACTGCATATTATACATGTGCATGCTTTTGCCTTTCTGTCATTGAACAGTAAATTATGCAAAATACTTTCCATTTTTCTTGCTAAAAGAGCCTAGCCACATGCTCTTACCAAAGATTAGTTGTCATTTAGTTTCTTTCTACTGTGAGCATGACATCATGTCACAGCAGATGCAAGGAGTTTATTAAGGATTAAAAAGTGTTATTATTTTGGTGATTGGATGTCCTTCACATTGTCATTTGTTTAAAAAAGTAAGTCATCATACATAAGACATTTCCTGAGACTTCAGGAAACATATGCCAAGACTAGTTTTCTTTCAGTTGATAGTTAGAGATGTTATTTGGGTTTTACATTTTTTGAAAAGCCAGCAGAGAAATGTGCCTTTTCAAGCAGAGAAAAAACATTTAGGTACTTCCCAGTCTCACATGTGATCATTATCTGATTAGCCTGTGCATTCTAATCAGCCTAAGAAATATTTTAGAGAACATGTGGATTTTGAGCTGTGTGTGAGATTGAGAAGGTGTATATTCACTTTATTTGAAAATACCAGATAAAAGTGATTTATATTTTTTCCTGAAACCATGTCTGAAAATTGTTGGGTTAATTTCAGCCCAGTTTATCCCAACTCAGAGGAATTTCATAAATAAATCCAATAATAATAAAAAAGCCAAAATCATGAATGTAAAATATTTAAGGAATTTTGCATCAAACATCTGAAACCTTCATACCATATTGCATTTGTGCAAATACATTAAAATGATCTGGTTTAGTTGGTTTATGCATGGTAAATTAAATGAAAATCTAAATGGAGTTCAGAAGTTCTGAATAATATAGGGTATTTTGGGTATTGCTACTTCTAGAAACTGTGGCTCAACACAACATCTTACAGTTTACTGCTTTACAGCAGTAAAGCTGGAATTTTGTGACGAGTTTCAGAAAGGTACTGCTCAACTGTGGTTATGTCGTATCAGTTGGTCTGTTGATTTATTAACAGTGTAATTAACTGGCATTCAGTTAAATATATATTCAGCAACAATAGCATCAATAAATCAAAATATTAGGTGTGATTAATATTAGATCAACTTACAGCACAGAATTAATCATAGGATTTTAAGGGGTTGAAGGACCTTAAAGATTATCTAGTCCTAGCTTCCACTGCCATGTGGTGGAGTATCTTCTGGTAGAACATGTTGTTCAAGGCCTTATCAACCATGCCTTGAACACTCCCAGTGTTGCAGCATCCACAACTCCTTTGGCAGCCTGTCCCACTGTCTCACCACCCTAAATTAAAAATTTTCTTCTTAATATCCTAAATTTCCCTTCTTTCTATTTGAGGCTGTTATTCCTTGTCTTATCACTATAGTTCCTGACAGAGAGTCCCTCTCCACCTTCCCTGTAGAACCCTTCAGATATTGGAAGGTTGCTATGAGGTTTCCCTGCAGCCTTCTCTTCTCCAGGCTGAACAGCCCCAACTTTAGCAGCCTGTCTTCACAGGGGAGGTGCTCCAGTTGTCTTATTAATTTTGTGGCCCTCCTCTGTACTTGTTCCAACAGTTCCATGTCTTTCTTAAAGTAAGGACCCCTGAGCTGGATGCTCTGTTCCAGTAGGGTCTCACCGGAGCAGAGCAGAGGGGTAGAATCCACTCCTTCACCCCGCTGGCCACACTGCTTTTGATGCAGGATGCCATTGGCTTTCTGGGCTGTAGGGGCACACGGTCAGGTCATACAGTGTTTTTCATCATCCATTGTCCCCAAGTCCTTCTCAGCAGGGCTACTCTCAATCACTTCTTCCAACCTGTATGTGTGTCAGGTGTTGCTACAACCCAGGTACAGTGCAGACTTACCTGTTTATATGCATCTGCAGTGGAAGATGTGGGTACTCAGGCTTTATGTAGTTGTGCTGCTCCACAAAATCCGCTGCTCCACACAATCCACTGATCCATATGATAAGGAGAAGGCACCCCACAAGGTCATGTAACACACTGAGCTGTTGCTGCTTGTTGCATCTGTTTGTGTTGAGTGTAGGCATCTCAGTGTTTTGCACAGAAGCTGCTCCACATGGAGTAAGTCATGAGGCTAAGAAGTTACTTCTAGTGGTGTCAGACTAGGTTTTTCACTGCTTCTGTGTTATGAAGGTCCCTCCTGGCCTACCACAATTTTTGGTGGTACTCTCCTCCCTCTCCCTCTCCCTCTCCCTCTCCCTCTCCCT